GGGTTTAGGGTTTAGGGGTTTTAGGTTTTGGGTGTAGGGTTTAGGGTTTAGAGTTTTCTACAGTGCCACGGCTGCCCCCCCCAGGTCATGTGTCCGCAGGGGGGGCGCCGTCTTTGCATTTGATAGCCCACCCCAAACCGCCCAAATTTTTACCTTTCACGGGTTTAGGGTTTTTTTTTACGAAAAAACCCGGGGACTATTCTTCCATACCCCCTCCCCGACGGAAATAAAAGTTGTATGTCGGCGAACCGCCAATCGCGGATTCGAGCAGGCGCGAACGCAATTGTGTTGTGGTCGCTGGGAGTGACATGAAATCTAACCTGCTGCCAGCCTACCCACTGTGTATTTTATCCAGCCGTTATGCATGTGTAGTTAGCGCTCACGTAGACGAAGCTCCACGTTATTAGTACTTCGATGCTAAATCCTCAATTTTGCTGTGGCGATCATACGGTGGTTGGTCCGATTCGGAGAAATGGGCTTTGAGGGGATACCTGGGAAGTTACTGTCCGGTTGCCGCACGAACACCATCATTTGGAGATCCGATTGTTCACACGGGAGGGGTGGGGCTGGGCGGCCACATAATGTGCATTTTATAGCCAAACCATGGTGTCGTTTTCCTTTGAAGTTAATTAGTCTGTTTTAATTTGAGCTACCTCTTAAGTTCTTGGGTGGTCGTATCATGTCGGAATGGTTGGGGGCCTAAGAACAGAAACCTCTGAATATGTTTTGAGCAATGTGGACTCCCAGAAAGGTGGAGCAGAAAGTGAAAGGATGAGGCGCCAGCAACGATTCCTCATCACGCAGATAAGGAGCTTGCAGATTGGACAGTCATCGCAAAGCGATTAGAAAGCAGATGTTGCTATCATAAAGCGACGTCGTCACGGAGTTGGCAGCCTTGTTGGTGAATGGTTTTCAGCTTTTCGGTCATCGCAAAGAAACTTGACAGCTGTGGTTGCTTTCGTGAAACGATGGCGTGACCGCAGCCGCAACGGTTTCATGATGTATCGTCGGAGGCGTGCTTGCCAGTGTGCTACGGCCAAGGGATTCTTGATCAGTTGCTCGATGCGCTGCCAGTAGATGCTATATGTACTGAACTTTCATAGGGCAGGAGTCAATTGCGACGAAGCAGAACCGCCCTGCGCAGCGGGCGAAGGTAGACCAATATCTCACCTAGAGCCGGAAGGTAGCCTCATGGTGCGATTTCGTTTTAGCGGCACGTCACAGGGACAGCGTCGTTCTATGTTTCGCAGGCGGAGGGTGGGGGGGGGGGGGCAGGGCGGGCCTAAAATTGGCAGAGCCAGCACCTCACAGGCATCGACGACAGGTTTAAAATACGTGTTGTTTTTTTGACCAAGGGCACTTTAAGAACATGTGTTGGTTGTAGCCATGGATCGGTTCAGATAGTAGCTGAAGCAACGTGAATCGACAAAGAGCTGAAAGTAAAAGCATGAAGCAGCAGCAGGGATTTCCGATGACGCAGATTTTGAGCCTGCAGACTGGACGGTCATCGCAAAGAAACTAGACAGCGTTTGTTGCTGTCGTAAAGCGATGTCGTCATGGGATCTTGCAGCTGCTATGAGACAAACGCATTTGCAACCGGGCGGGGGGGGGGGGGGGGGGCAGGGCGGGCAGAAAATTGGCAGAGCCAGCACCTCACAGCCATCGACGACCGCTTTAAATTTTTTGTTTCTTAACCAAGGGCACTTCAAGAACGGTCTTCGTTTTAGCAAGGGAGCAGTGACGATAGTAGTTGAAACAATGTGAATCAAGAAAGAGCACAAAGTGTACTTGAAGCGGCAGGGAGGATTCCCGATCACGCAGATGATGAGCTTGCAGACTGGACAGTCATCGCAAAGAAATTACACAGCTGCTGTTGCTGTCGTAAAGCGATGTCGTCATGGGGTCTTTCAGCTGCTGTCAGACAGAATTTTTTGCAAACGAGGTCTTGGTCTGGGAACTGTTTTGATAGGCTGAGCTATTCGCAGTCGTGGCGCAGTTTGCAGAAAGATAGCAGTATGGAACAACAGCCATGACGGTCAGACCCTCGGACAGCAACTACGGTTCGTGCTGCCAACGTCTGGCTTCAGGTCGCCGCTGAGATCCACTGACTCCAGGTGCGAGGTGGGTTCGTTACATAGAACAGCGTCCGGCAGCTTTGAGCTCGCCGAGGCTGGAGTGGCCATCCCATGCAAGGCTTGTCGCAGACACGGAGTGCCGGTTGATGATTCCCTTGCTGAAGAGGAGCACGGGTCGACAGTCATGAAGCAGAAGGTCCGTGCTGGTTGGAGATTAGAACGTGGCAACAGCATTCGTGTCTTTGCGTGGTAGGCAGCTGTCGGTACCAGGTAGCCACGGGTGACCAATGAGGCAGCGTGAGGAAGCCCTCATCTGCTGACAAAGAGGTCAACTCGAGGTCGTCATGGGGTCTTTCAGCTGCTGTGAGACAGATTTTTTTTGCAATCGAGGGCTTGGACTGGGAATTGTTTTGACAGGCTGAGATATTCGCAGTCGTGGCGCAGTTTGCATAAAAATAGCAGTTTGGAACAAGTACCATGACGGTCAGACCCTCGGACAGCAACTACGGTTCGTGCTGGCAACGTCTGGCTTCAGGTGGCCGCTGAGTTCCACTGACTCCAGGTGCGAGGTGGGTTCGTTACATATAACAGATTCCGGCAGCTTTGAGCTCGCCGAGGCTGGAGTGGCCATCCCATGCAAGGCTTGTCGCAGACACGGAGTGCCGGTTTCTGATTCCCTTGCTGAACAGGAGCACGGGTCGACAGTCATGAAGCAGAAGGTCCGTGCTGGTTGGAGATTAGAACGTGGCAACGGCATTCGTGTCTTTGCGTGGTAGGCAGCTGTCGGTACCAGGTAGCCACGGGTGACCAATGAGGCAGCGTGAGGAAGCCCTCATCTGCTGGCAAAGGGGTCAACTCGAGGACAAGGAAAAATGGACCTGCGCGGAGTGGCGTTCCTGTGCTGCACGGTGCCATTGGATCGATTCGTGAGCAGTGCATACGTTCACAAGAAACCTCACCGCCGTCCGGCACAGGTACGTTGTACGTAGCCGGCTGCAATTTTCTAGTGCGTGGCGTGTTGCCTCGCTTGGTCTGGTTACTGCCGGGAAAGCTTATCACCGCGCTGCAGAAATCTGGCTCCAAGCATCGTGTTTAGTCCTTCGCTCCTGAGCATCATGGGACGTCGCGGAATCGCGAAGGGCGGAAGCAAGGGGGCCGGCAAGGCCGGCGAGCAACCCAAAGAGTCGCAGTACGTCAAGCGTGTGGACTTGTACAAGTTCTTGGGCAAGTGGATGTTGCGTTCCTATCCGGACGAAAGGGGAAGGCCTCTCATGCTGGGCGCGAAAAAGTCCACTGCACAAGCGGCGCTGGAACCCGAAGCCTTGAGGGCCATTCTGGATGCCGACTGCTGCGAGCTACTCCGACGCCCCACCATGGGGCTCAACCTCGCGGCCGCTTCCATAGACTGTGCGGCTTTGCTCGGGCCGGTGCTGCAGGAGAAGATGGACAGTCTGTTGCCGAAGGTGACCTCGGCGACCTTCCTGGACAAGGTACAATTCCTGAACCTGGCCCGCAACGTGGACCGGAATCCGGAGGATGTTCCGGAGCAATGCAAGAGTCTGCTGAAGAAGGTGAAGCACTTGGTGAGGGATCACGGGGAAGATCTGGCCGCAGCGGCCGAAGCAGCGGCGGGAGTCTTCCTGGGGCTCATGAGCATCCTGGAGGTGGCGGCGGTGTCCAAGGATATGCGCGCGTGGGCCAAGGGCGTGCCAGAGCGCAGGAAGCAGAGCAAGCACCTGCAAGCTTGGCTCCAGGACCCCGACGACGAGGACAAGTTCTTGGCAGCCGTCGCCAAGGCCGTGAAGGAAGACAACAAGAACACCACGCGGGCTCGGCGCTTCGGCGAGTTCGAGATGCAGGCAGAGGACACGTCGTCCTCCCTCACGTTGCTCAGCAGTCAGGATGACAGCCCCTCGTCGTCGGTGCTTCGCGCGAGCAAGAAGAAGCGCGGCAAAGGCAAGAAGCAGACCAAGGCAAAGACATCGAAGAAGGCGAAGAAGAGCAAGCAGCGCAAAGAGGCATCTTCCTCGCAGGACGCCGCTTCGCAGCCCAGCTCTCGCGAGACCGAGCCCGCGCCGAAGAAGCGCAGGCCCAGTGCGCGCGCCAGTGGCTCCAAAGTCAAAAAGGCCAGGGTGGGCATATCGGTGGAGTCCGAGTCGGCAGACAGCGAGCAGCTGCAGGGACAACTCGCGGGCAAGGACCTATGCAAGACGTGGTCGCTGTCGGAGTTGCAGGCCTTCGAAGAGATGGCAGCGCAGCAGGTCACCGCGGCGGACAACGCCGTGCTGGAGGCGGAGCAACGCCTGGCCGTGAGCAAAGCCCTCCCCGCGGAGCTTCGCCGAATGGTTTGGGAGCGTGCCGGACTGTTGCCGAGCACAGAAAACGAGGAGGTGCTCAAGGCGAACGCGGAGCGCCTCGTGAAGCATACGTTCCAGATGGTCAAGGAGGTGCGCCTGGCGTGGGTACAAGCCGCGGTCCAGGAAGACAACAAGAAGACGAACATCGCCCTGCTGCCGGAGGACAAGCTGTTCCACCAGGTGATGACGGAAAGGCTCCCAGAGGAAAACCGTGCGGCATGGGAGGCTGCCCTAAAGGAAGACTCGCCCGAAAGCTTGCACTCGCGTGCGGTGCTTCTCAAGGGATTGTGGGACGCAGACGCAGCAGTCGCCAACTACAACAAAGCCCTGACCTTCGCCGAGGCATTTGCCACGAAGGAGCCCAAGAAAGACAAGGCCTTGGATCTCGTGAACTTGATTCCGACCACGGTGGCCGCCGCCTTCGGACTTCCGCCATCGGAAAAATTCGAGCGCCAGAAGCCGGCGAACTGGAAGAGCTATTGCAGCGTGGCCTTCACGCTGTCCTGGCACATTTTCAAGAGCCATGCGGATCTGAGCTAGAGAGCCTAAGCCGGCGAGCCTAAGCCGGCGAAGACCAGTGGCCGGGTAACCGCGCACAGCGGGTACAGACCCCGGCCCTGTCGGCAGGATTGCCGTGAGCACAAGGGCCAAAACATGCGTGCAGGGCTGAGATAGGTGTTGTTCGTGTCGACTCAGTGTGTCGGCAGCTCGCAAGCGTCCCAGTTGCTTCGTCTGTCTGGTCGGCTCCAGCATTTCTGTTAGACAAGCAAGCCTGGCAACTTCGGCATGCACTGTACACATCCTGGGCCAGGACCGCTTTGCCTTTCGCCCTGGCGGGCCACTGAGATTTCTGCTTTATAAATTCGTGGTCTGTCGGCGACTCTCGCCGAGGCAATGACATGGAGGCGCGCCTGGGCCCGCAGGAGACGCTTGCAGGCATCGGGACGGCTGCTCTGCCCGGAGCAGGAAACAATCTGAAGGACGACCAGCACCGGGCCGAAGAGGAATAATGCGGAGGTCGACGACGTCGCGGGCTCCAGGCTCGGTTGTCGTTCTCGCAGCGAAGCCTTCGCAACCGAGGCCTTCGAATGGAAACCCTTTGTGGCAGGCCGGGCTGTTAATCGTGGCACAGTTTGCACAACACCATTGGCAGGGCGGAGCGGAAAACATTGTGCTCGGACCTCGGACAGCAGCAGCGGTGTGTGCTCTCCTTTTTCCCCAGTTCTTGCGGTGACACTCTTCTGTTGGTAAACTTTTCTTGCGGCGGAAGTCGACGAGGACGTTGCAAGAGCCTCGAGCTTCTCTGGTTCTTGCACTGAAGTCTTTGCAACCAAGGCTCCGAATGGAAACCGTTTTGGTAGGCTGGGTTGTACGCAATCGTCGCGCAGTCGGCATACCACCATTGACAGGATGAAAGGGAAAGCATTGCGGTCGCACCCTCGGACAACAGTAACAGTATGTGCTCTTTCCTTTGCAGCCCCCGCGGTCAGACGCTTCTCTGGCCCATTTTTTTTGTGGCGGAAATCGACGACGACGTCGCGAGAACCTCGAGCTTCTGTGATTCTTGCACGGAAGTCTTTGCAGCCGAGGCCTTCGAATGGAACACTATCTGGCAGGCTAGGCTGATCGCAAGTGTGGAGCAGTCTGCATGACACCATTGACAGGATGAAACGGGAGTCATCGCGGTGGCACCCTCAGCAGCAGTAACGGTGTGTGCTCTTTTCTTGTCAAGTCTTGCGGTCAGACTCGTCTCTGGCACGACTCTATGTGGTTAACTCTATATTTGTAGTCCTTTGCTACACGAAAACGATTGAAGACGCGGCTAATTAGCTTAGTTAGATCATTTCATGTAGGGGGATTTGGATAACAGCTGGAACGGAGCAAGTCGTCAAAATCCGACCTGCCTGATTTTAGTTTTTTTTCCCGCACACTGGCGCGCGCGTTAAAGGAGGCCAGCGGAAAGCCAAGAGCATGAGCATCGCTTATTGGGGGGTAGTCACGCCCCGGGGTTACCGTTACAGCCCTTGAAAAGTAGTGCAAGAAACAAGCACTGGCCACAACAGTCGAGGTATCAACCAACGAAGCATGGTTCAACCCAAAACTTGCCCAACCTTCGCTCTGCTATCAACCAACGAAGCATGGTTGAACCCGGAACTTGCCCAACTTTCGCTCTGCTATCAACCAACGAAGCATGGTTGAACCCTGAGACGGATGACCCATAGTCTTCCCCAAAACAAAAATCCCAGGACAGTTATCTGAGACGGATGACCCATAGTCTTCCCAAGCCAAAAATCCCAGGACAGTTATCTGATACGAATGACCCACAGTCTTCCCAAAACAAAAATACCAGGACAGTTATCTGAGACGGATGACCCTAGTCTTCCCAAAACAAAGATCCCAGGACAGTTATCTGAGACGGATGCCCCATAGTCTTCCCAAGCCAAAAATCCCAGGACAGTTATCTGAGACGGATGACCCGTAGCCTTCCCCAAAACAAAAATCCCAGGACAGTTATCTGAGACGGATGACCCCTAGTCTTCCCAAAACAAAAATCCCAGGACAGTTATCTGAGACGGATGACCCATAGTCTTCCCAAAACAAAAATCCCAGGACAGTTATCTGAGACGGATGACCCATAGTCTTCCCAAGACAAGAATCCTAGGACAGTTATCTGAGACGGATGACCCATAGTCTTCCCAAAACAAAAATCCCAGGGCAGTTGTTTGAAACGGATGACCCATAGTCGTCCCCAAAACAAAAATCCCAGGACAGTTATCTGAGACAGATGACCCAGAGTCTTCCCAAGCCAAAAATCCCAGGACAGTTATCTGAGACGAATGACCCATAGTCTTCCCAAAACAAAAATCCCAGGACAGTTATCTGAGACGGATGACCCATAGTCTTTCCCAGAAAATCCCAGGACAGTTATCTGAGACGGATGACCCATAGTCTTCCCAAGAAAAAAATCCTAGGACAGTTATTCTGAGACGGATGCCCCATAGTCTTCCCAAAACAAAAATCCCAGGACAGTTATCTGAGACGGATGACCCATAGTCTTCCCAAAACAAAAATCCCAGGACAGTTATCTGAGACGGATGACCCATAGTCTTCCAAAGACAAAAATCCCAGGACAGTTATCTGAGACGGATGACCCATAGTCTTCCCAAAACAAAAATCCCAGGACAGTTATCTGAGACGGATGACCCATAGACAAAAATCCCAGGACCACGGATGACCCGTAGTCTTCCCAAGACAAGAATCCTAGGACAGTTATCTGAGGAGAAATGACCCACGTCTTCCCAAAACAAAATCCCAGGACAGTTATCTGAGAGGATGACCCATAGTCTCCCAAGCCAAACATCCCAGGACAGTTATCTCCCGGACGACAGTTATCCTGAGACGGATAGTCTTCCCAAAACCAAACATCCAGGACAGGGATTGAGAAGATGACCCTAGTCTTCCAAGACAAGATCTAGGATCTGAGGACGGATGACCCATAGTCTTCCCAGAAACAAAAATCCCAGGACAGTTATTTGAAACGGATGACCCATAGTCTTCCCCAAAACAAAAATCCCAGGACAGTTATCTGAGACGGATGACCCATAGTCTTCCCAAGACAAAAATCCCAGGACAGTTATCTGAGACGGATGACCCATAGTCTTCCCAAAACAAAAAACAAAAATCCCAGGACAGTTATCTGAGACGGATGGCCCATAGTCTTCCCAAGTCAAAAATCCCAGGACAGTTATCTGAGACGGATGACCCATAGTCTTCCCAAGACAAAAATCCTAGGACAGTTATCTGAGACGGATGACCCATAGTCTTCCCATAACAAAAATCCCAGCTCCAGGGTTGTACGCAATCGTGGCGCAGTCGGCATACCATCATTGACAGGATGAAAGGGAAAGCATTGCGGTCGCACCCTCGGACAGCAGTAACGGTGTGTGCTCTTTTCTTTGCAACTCGTGCGGTCAGACGCTTCTCTGGCCCAACTTTATTGTGGCGGAAGTGGACGACGACGTCGCAAGAGCCCCGAGCTTCTGTGGTTCTTGCACGGAAATCTTTGCAGCCGAGGCCTTGGAATGGAACACTATCCGGCAGGCCAGGCCGGTCGCAATCGTGGAGCAGTCTGCATGACAGCATTGACAGGATGAAACGGGAACCATTGCGGTCGCACCCTCGGACAGCATTAACAGTGTGTGCTCTTCTCTTGTCAACTCCGACTCTGCTTGCTGTCCTTGCACTCGCACGCAACCTGTTGCATGGCCGTCAGAAGTTTGAGACGGATGCCGCGGCCGGAGCTGCTGTCCCTAGCTCTCTCGCGCGTCGACCGGGTTTCCTCTTCGCCATGGCTGTGCCTCCGCCGGCTGATCCCATCGAGCCTGGACGCGGGTGGGCCTTGCGCCTCAAATGGAACCCCTTCTGTTGCGACGGAGGTCATCCTTGTGTCGGAGGGCTTGGCAGCCCGTGCGCCTGTGGACCTGCCGGCGGCGCCCTCCCTGCTGTGGACGCGGAGTCGCAACAATGCCACTTTTGCGACTTTCCCATTTTGCAGGCTCTCTACGGCGACCGGCAGGACGGCCTCCTGACCCACTTGCTCCTGGCTCTCGACGACCCTGGCCGGCAGGCGGCGCTGGCGCGCATCGAGGAAGCTTTGGGCGTTGCCGCCCGCTCCGACATGGAGGCGCGCTGCGCGCGGGCCTGGCGCCGCCGGGACCCGGCGCGCCCGCGGCGTGGGCCTCGCGGACCGTATCACCGCGGCGTGGCGTGCCATACGCCGGAGTCGCCAGTGCCGGAGCGCTATCGCGGCCAGCCGCTGCCCATGCGGCGATCCGCGCTCAAGACGTCCTGGCTCTATCGAGCTCAGAAGGAGCGGGATGAGGCAGACGCAGGGGAAGGCGTGCTGGTGAAGAACGAGACAGGCGATGCCATGCCGATGTGAGTTGGACATTGTAGAGCGCCGAGGACCAGTGGCCGGGTAACCAAGCACAGCGGGTACAGACCCCGGCCCTGTCCGCACGCCTGTGCTGCGCAGAAGAGTGAAAACATGCGTGCAAGGTTCACAACGCAGTCAATGAAGGTGGTTAGACCTTTCGTTTCCTAACTCTTGGGCCACTCTTCTTTCACTGGAGTCTTGGCAACCGAGGCTCTGGAAGGCAACCGTTATGGCAGGCTGGGCTGCTCATAATCGTGCCGCAATTTGCATAACACCATGTGCAGGATGGAATAAACCATTGCGTTCGGACACTCGGACAGCGGTAAGAGAGTATGCTCTTGTCCTATCCAACTCTTGCGGTCAACCCGTCTCCGGCCTAACTCTTTATTTCATTGAACTCTTGCGTTCTCGGCTGCTCTGGTTGGACTCTTCTCTTTCCCAACTTTTGTAGATCGACCCTTTCGTTTTCATACTTCCGTGGCTAGACTCTCCTATTGCCCGACTTGCGGGGTTAGACTCTGGAGACGCGTCACGGGCGGGAGCGTCTTTGATCCAACATCAATCGGCGGGGCGAGCGTGGATGTCGCACAACTTGAAACTATTA